AATTGTACAAAGTATGCTTAACGGACATTGTATCGCGCCCAGGCGTAGACATGCATGTTTATTCCACTTTCATCTAAGAGATATAATTTCTCTTGGGACATTTAAGATCTTTACACAATAGATTTGACGAATATTAATTGCCCCGGGAGTATTTATTCTATCAGGATCCTTGCTAGCTCTTTTTTTCGACCAACCTATATTTTTAATATATTTACTAATTGTTGTTTTCATTTTTGGACTACCAGGAGGCAAATTTTCTATTATCTCCTGGATAGTAAGAGTGTTATTTTTCATTAATAAGCTATGTATCTTTTAATTATGGAAGAATCTTTTTTCTTACTTCCTCTTTTTTAAATATTGTATTCTTTTAAAGGATCTCCATTTATATCGGTGAATGTGTCCCGTCTAAATCTATGGACCGATGCTGTAGACATTTCGACGTATTTTGCGATGTCTTTAATTTTCATTTGTTCTTTTTCAGGCATAGATAAGATTTTAGTAACTATATCTATTTTTTCTTTATTCTAATATTTGTGTATTCTTTTTGGTCATCGAATTTTCGACGAAGATTGGGAGTTTTCATTTAAATTGGAAAAATTAGTATACTATTGGACAATAAAGATTTTATATTAAACTATTAATAAATATTTTTATAACACATTTTATTTTTATAACACATTTTTTTATTTTAAATTAAATTTTCAACACATTTCTTTTCAACGATTAATTTTGTTAATTAATTGCTTGTCCATATTTAATTTCATATGTATTAAATTAAAATAAAATCTTATAAGGTTTAGTTTACTACCTTTTATTGTAAGTTGATTATTAAAAATCTTATTTTCTTTACCCCTAATAAATTTTTAAATATTTGATCTTACAGTTTAACATAACAAACGAAAATCGCGAATCCATATTTCTTAAACAAAAACTTCAACTAGAAATTTTTAAACACAATTATACTTTTTTTAGGTACATAATATATTCATTATTAAATTAAGCTCTTTTTAGAGCCTTTATAATATATAATATATATTTATTTTTATTTAGTAATTTTATATATTTTTATATACTTGTTTTAATATTTTAGTGTTTTTCATTTTTCTAAATTTATAAATTAAATAATAACAACTTTAATAATAATGATAATACTCGTTTGCATTTCACTATAATTAAAAATTATGAGGGGGATTATTTTTTTATAAAAAATAATATATATACACAGGGTTTCGAACCGAACCGCCAAACTGGAATGAACCGTTATGATTTTCTGAAGGGTAACCTTAACCGGACCGTTATAAAGAAAATATAAAAAGAGCAAACCGAACCGTTATAAATATTTTGAACCGGTTAAAAACGGTTTTAAAAAATAATTAATTTGAAATTATTAACCTAAATTTGAAATTTTAATTTTCCGGGGGTATTTTTTAAATTGGTGATTTCTTTTCAAATTAAATATTTTTATATTATCTACATTATAATCAATACCAAGTTTATTGTTTTTTTCTTTAAATACTTATTTTATTAGAGATTAGGCAAATTATCTGTTAATTAGATAAGATATGTTTAAATCACACATAATTATTCTTGGCTAAATTAACAAGTTTATATATATAAGTTATTAATAAGCTTTTATAATAATTTAGGAAAAAATTAAATAATTCTACTATTAATAACTAACATCTAATAGAAATCAAACTTTTTACATTCATTTTTATATTATATGGTTTATTTTTTATCTAATTATAAAAACTTGGTTCTATGAATTTAAATAACAATAAAAATTTCTTTTATTTTTTAAAAATTATATATATTTAAAATAACATTTAAACTATTTGTAAAATAAAATTTATACAAAAACTATATTAAATAAAATAATAATTAAACATTTAATTAGGTATCAACGGGGCTTATAGACCCATGTATGGATATGCAGTTAGAACGGCAGATTTCAGTTGATATTATCTGTCGAAGGTAGAAGCCTTCTTTTGGATCACCTGTGATTAAGCGTAACCTTTGCCCTATTATTTTGAAAAATTTTAGGGCTTGGGGTCCAAATGATCCACAGGTATCTGAGACTACCGGAACAAACAAAACATTATTAAGGTTGCTATATTTGTTTGTTTTTGTGTTTTCGGCTTTCGTGATAGAGTTGGAAGAAAAGGATTTGGCAAAACGATCCACGCAAGTATACCCAGGCGAGAGGTAGACCTTGGTTCCTAGGGACTTGCGTCATACCTTCTGGTCTGGTTTGATTGTCAGGGCGAGGCCAGATGGTTCCGGTGGAGGGAATATTTGAGGATTTCAAGCTTCTGTTGATGATTGAATTGATAGCATGGTGTCTGGGTAATCTGCCCTTTCATTCATTTTTATATTATATGGTTTATTTTTTATCTCATTATAAAAACTTGGATCATAGAATTTAAAAGACAATAAATAAAATGATCCGCAATATTTTAATGATATAATAATTTTTTATTTTTTTTAAATTCAGAATTCTAATATTCATTTAGGTCATTATAAATTATATTATTAAAATAATATTTTTAACATTTGAAGAAAGAGAGATAGCCAGAAAACATCTTTGTAAAACTTGGAACTTGATACAAAGTCTAAATAATCAGAATATTGAAATTCTAAATACTATGCCTACGTGTTCGCATTTGAAAGATAATTTAGATGATGATTTTTAAGATTTATTAAAGTCGCATGAAAGTCTTAATAAGAATAATTCTCAGGGCATAGAAAATTAAAATAGAATATATAATTCGGATTAGAAAAAGATACTAATCTTTTGAATTATTGGGAAAATGTAAAGAATAGTATATCAGAACTTTATAAGTTAGCTATAACTGTGCTAGCAGTTCCAGCTACGCAGGTATCCGTAGAAAGAGCATTTTCTAGCCTTAAGTTTATACTCTCTGCGCAGAGAACTAAATTTAAACCTGAAATATTAGAAAATATTTTAGTTATCCGTTCTAATTCTCTTTTTAAACATAAATAGTATACATTTTATTATATTTATGCGTTATTTTATTCATCATTGTATTTACGCAGATTTGTTTTTATCTTATTTATTTATAATATAAAAAATTAATTTGTCTAATTTATATTTACTAAGTTTAATAAAAATATCAATTAGATTATCATGGTTAAATTAAATAAGAAATTATAAATTGAAAAGATTTTTCTCTAAAATTAATATATACATGGTTAATGATTAATTTTTTTTTAAATCAAATTTATAAAAACCGGAACAAACCGAAAAGAACCGTTATAAATTATAAACCGAACCGATATGAATTTTTTTTAAAAAACCGAAATGAAACAAAACCTTTATAAAATTTTAAATTAAAACCGGAACAAACCGAACCGTTATGCTTAACGGTTCGATACCCTGTATACATATTGTTACTAAAAGAAATGTAGGGAAAGTTATATATTTCAGGGACCTGCAGAGGTACCATTTGCACGGCCCGGTCCGGATTTTTTTTCAAAAATTTTTTACGGCTCGGCCCGGGTTTAAAAATTTTAGGCCCGGCCTGAATATTTAAAAAAATTTCTTGGGCCCGGCCCGGATTTTTTTTTAAAAATTTTATTAGGCCCGGTGTAACGTGTGAAAGTGATCTATGAGATTTCGAAATCTCACGCAATCAAAATCCCACGGATGGGTTGTGAGATTTTGATTTAAATGGCCCCCAATGTTTTTGAAGCTATAAATCTAAAGCAATCCAGAAATAGAATGAAGACTTTCAATCAAACCATATTAAAATAAGCTTTTATTTGATACCCATATCAAAAAATTATTTTTTATACCCCCCCCCTCTCCATTAACCCCCTCCCATACCAAGTCATCCCCATCAAGACCATGAATGAAGACTTCCAGTCAAATATTAAAATTAGCTTTTATTTGATACACATATCAAAAAAATTATTTTTTACACCCCCTCCCCTCCACAGACCAAGTCATACCCATCAAGACCAAGTATGAAGACTTTCAGTCAAACCATATTAAAATTAGCTTTTATTTGATATCCATATCAAAAAAATTATTTTTTACACCCACCCCCAGACCAAGTCATATCCATCCAGACCAAGAATTAAGACATTTTTTACACCCCCCCCCACCCGACCAAGTCATACCCATCAAGACTAATGGAGACTTTCAGTCAACCCATATTAATATTGGCTTTTATTTGATACCCATATCGATATTTTGTGTTGATAAAAATATTTCTGAACCCCCAAGACATAGACCTCCAGTTGAATAGATCTTTTGGTTAGCTATCGATTGATACCCTATATTAGACATATCTTATTTCATAAAGTCAATAAAAACAACATTGAAAATTAATACATAACAATTAAATTAAAAACGAAACGCGCGCAAAACGATAAATTCCTCTTTATCACGATTAAAACGTGATGATACCGTATTACATTCCTTAATTTAAAACCTAATTTTTTTTATTTAAATACATTGACGATTCATTCATTAAAAGTGTATATTCATTCATTAAAAGTGTACATCAATGCAAATCAGCTGGAGACACCATCTTTTATTAAAATTTTAAACGAGAGCCTAATTTATTCCTATATCTGATGCAAACTTTATTAAAGAATTACCGGATCATCGAGATAATAAGGAGCAAGTTATCAATTTAATAGTAGTTTTTAACATGAGAATAATTACTATATGTGTTACCACCAAAATGGCGGGTCCAGCTGATTTGCTTTTAATTACACTTAAAAATGCGTTTTAATGAATGAATCGTCAGTCTAGGTATTATATATGTCATTGATTACGATTAGTACATAATACCATTTTAAAAAAATTTCAACTTTTCTAAAATAAAGTTTTTATTTGTTATTGCTTAAGTGGTATAAAGTGAAAACTCGTGACAAATTCCTTATAAGAAAATTGATATTTAACTAAGTTTAAAATATCCGATATTTAATATTATATAAAACTATATCTAATATTCAATTATTTGGTTTATATTAAAGGCAATTTCATTAAATATATGGACCTAGACCGGCCGTCGATATTTATGATCATGCCAAAAACAACGCCATTGAAAATCACGCCGGTTTAATAAATAATTTTAAAATCATTTTCTTTAATGATTGGTCAAAATTGTATAATTATATCAGGAAAAGTCTTAAATACAATAGATATTGGATGTGCAGATCTTGATAGCATTGATCCATATCCTGATTGTATGATATTAACATTAATGCCCCTCAATTTCTTTTCCCCCTTTTAGCCACCTTTTCTGGTGGTAAGCTCATTCACTATCTATCTCCACTTTATTATTAATCTAATTTATATTTGTATTTCTGATCGATTATATTTGTATCAATCACCGGTGTATCGCTACTGGAATATCAATCACGATGGATCCATTGTATTGGTAGACATTGAGCTAGAGCGGCTCCCGAGGTCACCATCGTCCCATCATCTTAGCGCTGGCCAAGAAATCGTCATCTGACCCACGAATTCAGGTGGCCGTCTTTTTTGGTTTATTGGACAAGTATCTTAGCACCCGGCTGTCCAAGCCTGTCGGTGACCGTGGTGGCATTCAGCCATCCATCATAGAAGAAAAACCCGAAAATTTTTAGTTCCTTACCAGGATTGAGCCTGGGACTAGTGTTGTTAAAAGGCTTATTTTGAGCCGATTTTCTAAAACGGCTAACTCAATGTTTTAGCCAGAAAAATTAGGCCTAAGCCTCGAGATTTCGTTAATATATGTCTAGACCTTTGTTCCTTCTATGAGCAAAATCTTCAGGCTTGCGTAATATTTTTCTGGATGGAATATTGAGTTAGCCGTTTTTAAAAATCGGCTCAAAACGAGCCGTTTAACAACACTACCTGGGACCTTCGGTTTACAAGCATATATCACACACCACTGGGCCACCCCGGCGATATTAATGCCCCTCAAATGAGAACATAAAAATTAAATGTCCCAACCAGATGGCATAGTATATTAATTATGCTAGAAAGTATAGCTAGCTAATAAAAATTAATTAATAATAGATTGAAAAGAATTGAAAAACATTTTTCATAATATGAATCGGATTTCATAGAGGAAATATTAATGTATATTTTGAAATTTAAATAAACATTTGAATTTCTATCTTCACAAACAGGATCATCAGAAGTGAAATAGAAACACATTTAATAGTGAATGATAGAGATAGCTCCGAAATTATTTCACTAAAGAAATATTTTTAAAAAACTAGTGTAAGATTTCCTGTTTACGATATCAAAGTAATATTATGTAAGTATTTTTATTTACTTTTTCTTTCAAAAATTATCTATGTGTTGGTTCTTCCCAAAAACCCATTCTTTCAAAAATAAAAATTGTATCAAAATATATGATAGAGCAAAACTGCATATTATTTGAATTTACTATTAAGTATCTTAAACTTATAGATCATTTTGATATTGTATTAGTAAATAGAGAGATTGAAAACTAAGAGGAAATATCAAATACAAATTATTTGGCAAGTTCAGAAAAAAATATTCTACATCATGCACAAATTAAGATTTTAAATGACTAGAACAGTGTTAGATTTGGACCGATGGGTCCCCCCGTCAGATTGGGAAATATACAGTCCGAGATCGGGGGTCCGAGATGGTCGATGACGGGATCTTGGGGGCCGGGTTTCATCGATTTTGTCATGGAATCAATCGGACAACGTAGTGGAAATAATATTTTCAAAGTTTATTAAACAACTTAAAGTCGATGTTACAAAGTAAAAAAAATCAAAATCATCCAATAATTAATCAAAAAAAATGTATATAAATTTCACAATCAAAAGAAAATATTTAATGGTCCAGAAAAAGGTATTTTTCCAACCTTTATAATTTTTAAAACAAAGAGAAAAAAAGAGGTTGTTATATAATCGCGATACAATCATTCTTGAAACTGGTTAGAACCAGTTTCAAAGGCAATATAAAAATAAAGTATAATATCAATTTCATAACAAAAAAAAAGGAAGATGGGAAAACAGAAGAAACAAGTGGAGAAAAAAACGTAAAGAAAAGAAATAAGTTATACGGGACAAGTGGGGATATAGAACATAACAAACAGAAATGTCATATTCTTCTCGAAAAACGTCACTTACAAGATATGGATATTCTATTTTTAGAGAGAAAAGAGGATCGAACTTCGGAATCTTTCCAAGCTAGCCATTCTTTGTGTTTCAGCAACTAGCACACATAGAGAAAGAGTTTTCTTTACCTCTGGATTAGCTCCGAATTCAATGAGGTCATCCTTATGTATAGCAAATTTAAATAAAATTACTTTTATACATGATAACTATAAAATTACAAGTTTGAATTTATAATTAATTTTCTTTACAATAAAGATCTAAAAAATATGGCGACAAATATCTGTAGTTGTATATTAAAATTCGTTTTTCTTTAAAAAATTCAATTAAAATATATCTTAGAAATTTATATCTATGATCGATATACACCGTTGACGTGGCTAAAAAGTGGCGCGCCTCCGGCCATCGATTAGATTTATCAGCGCACAGGTCTTACTATAAATGATGCTATTTGCTGAATATGTCTTAGCGAATTTTAAAAAAAAATGAATCTACATATTTTAAAAAAATAGATTAACTAAAGACAAGTGAGTATAAGTAATATATAAATTTAAAAAAATTATTTTCTGAAGGGCACTCTTATTTATAATATTGGTAGGAAGATATTTAACCCTTCTTAGGGGTTTTATATTATCCCACACCTTTGGAAATTACAATAACAATAAAACTCTATTTATTATTTTGATCCGGTTTTTGGTTGTTTTATAATTTTGTCTAAACAAATATTATTCAAAATTTGGTATATTTTTGATAAGTATTATTTGAGATATCACTGAATTATTTATCATCAAATCAAACGAGATTCTTTGCAAAATAAATTCTATGATTTATTTGGTGTCAAAATAATCTTTAACTTGGAAGATATAAAAAATTTAGATTTTAATTTTTATTGAGTTTAGACGACCTAACGAATAACTAAAAAGTCGAACCGGTATCTATAAAGTGTATGAAATATAAAAATGTTTTTTCAGGTTCTAAAATATTTGCAAAATTTATATCAAATCTAAGCTCTAATTTATCTATTTATGATAGAACTGTTTAATAAACAACTTAAGAAAGTTGCATCAAAAATAAAATAAAGCTAATGGAAATTAAAAGTTAAAAAAACAGCTTTGGAGACGAACCCTTAACCACATGATGTTTGCAATAAGTTAGAAAAAAATCTCGGGTATTCTCTTTGACATATTAATCGATAACACTGTGTGACAAGAAAAATGGGAGAAGAAAATAAAAACAAGTTTTGGTGCAGAATTTGACGCTGAGTTCTAATCCGTTTTCCAAATTTTCCCTATACATCAAGTTTTAAAAATATTACCGTATAAAGACAACTTTTCGAAATCTCAAAAATGGTAAAATTTAGGTCTTTATATGGATATTTTTTAAAAAGTATCGAATAAAAATCCCTGAAAATTGGTGATAGTGTTAAACTTATATTTCTTTATAAATTTACTAATTTTTATAATTTTTTATCGATTGGTTTTTGAGAAAAATGGTAAAGAATTTCGTTTTGGGGGTCTTAAGTTTTCAATTTAAATTACTATCAAAATTATTAACTTTAGAAGATAAATTTTATATAATTTTGCTTCAAATATGCTCAAGATTATATATTAATTCTAATTATGTTTCAAAAGTACTCTATGCCATGAAAATTCAACCAAAATCTATAAATTAAAAAAGTCGGTACAGATATTTTCGAACTTTTTAATTTGTACACTTTTATTGAATTTTCTCTGCATAAAGCATTTTTAAAGCAAAATTAAGGTAATATTTATCTTTTTTAGTTGTATTTAGTAATATTTTATGCATTTATGATCAATTTATCTGTACCCACTTTTTTAATTTGTACTCTTTTTGAATTGAGCATTTTTGAAGCAAAATTCATTTAAAATGCAATAATTGGTAATTTTTTTATTTATCTATTTTAGATATATTTAAGAATATTTGTTTTTTTAATCAATTTATATCAAAATATATGATTTCCAATGGAGTACCTTGACCCATAGTATGGGCAATAAATAATAATGCCAAATAACGAGTAGGAAGAAAGGAGAAGAATTATTTTTTTTCCAACTTAATTTTTCATACCCGTAGTATGGGCAATAAATAATAATGCCAAATAACGAGTAGGAAGAAAGGAAAAGAATTATTTTTTTTCCAACTTAATTTTTCATAAACATTTAATTTAATTTACTTTCATTCATTTTTTTTTAAATTGGATTTTAAATATTATTCAAATTCTCTCCTTATCTACAAAAAATTAATGCCGAGGTCCCCTTAAAGTGTGTCTCTAAATTTTGTTACATCTGTGCGGGCTATATATTGCCCGCACAAAAATGTCCAATTTCTCCAATCATTCAAAGGATTTATGAAATTTATTACAATATTCCACTCTGCGATTTGGATAAACCATTTGCCCCTAATTACATATGTAAAACATGTTATAATTCTTTTAATTCATTGGTAAATGGAAAACGGTCATATTTGCCTTATTCGAAACCTGCATTTTGGCACGTAGCAAGAAATCATTCGTGGGATTGTTATTTTTGCTCGATTAGTACATTTGGGTTTAACAAAAAAAATAAGAAGAAAATTCGTTATCCTGAAATTTCATCGGTTGTTTATCCGGTAAAATATAACATGCATACAATAGTTCCTTTTTTAATAGTTCGCAGCTGGAAAAATTACGTTGCCAGGACAATGACAATATTGATTATGAGTATCATCCCGAAGAGTGATTCGCCATTTATGTCACAAGAGCAACTAAATGACATAACCAGAAATTTACAACTTTCAAAAAGAAAGTCCGAATTTTTAGCCTCAAGGTTTAATGATTTTAAAATTTTAAAAAATGGAGTTCGAACTTCATACCGATTCCGTGGAGCATCGTTTAAAAATTTATTCTCTTACGAAAATTTTTTATACTATTCCAATAATCTAGATCAACTTTTTTTACAACTTAATATTCAATTGGTGCCCGATGAATGGCGCTTGTTCATCTATTCAAGCAAAAACAGCTTGAAAGCAGTTTTGCTTCTTAACGGAAATTCTAAGCCATCAATTCCCATCTCCTATTCCAACCAGTTAAATGAATCATATGAAAATATGAAATATTTATTGTCAAAAATAAATTATTCCATTTACGAATTTAAGATATACCGTGTGCAGTGTAACGAAGAGAACGAAAGCCACAATAAATAAATATATTAAATGTAAGCTATATTAAAAAAGATTTTATAAATAAAGGTAAATTTAAAAAATATAGGTTGTTTAAAAATTGAGTAAGGATTTTATAAAAAAAAGAAGTATAATAATAATAAGGAAGGTTTGCTGCAAAAATTAAGATATTTTTTTAGTTGTAGGGATCATTAGAACCGAAGTTATAAACCTTCAAAAAGTGCTAAAAATGACCTTTTTGGCCACTTTAAGCTAAAATAAATAAAAAACCTGACGTGCTAGAAAAAAACTGACAGCGGATTTAGAATATGCATAAAAAACTGTCTTAAAACATGTTTATTTTATTTTCTCCCAAAAAATCAAGTCGAAATTTGTCACAGTGTAATTGATCAAAAAAAAAATTTCTATTATTATTTTGACCATAATAATGTATGTTACATATAAGTCACAAATTGTATTTAACAAGCAATTTTATATATTGGTATGAAATAAAATAAAACAGTTTTTATTTGCATGGAAACATAGTGCACATTGACATTTCGAGCGTTTTACATGTGTAACACCTTTACATAGTGGATTTTTGCACCTTTGACGATTATTCGTCCACTCTGGGAAATGTCCAATTTGATCCGTGCGAATATCTGTAGACGGTACGAAAGACGTAGGCCCCCTTCTTTTTTTTATCTAAATGAAAATATAATACAATAATAAATAAATGATCACCTTCTATTAGGTTTTCGACCATAGAAGAAGGACGTCCGCGTTTCAATTCTATTTTAGCTTCAACTTGACACATTGTTGTGGCTACTTCTTGGCGAAATTCCGATAGAGAAAAAACAGAATTGTCATATGATTTGGTTTTCTCACCTTGAATACGTCGATATAATAACCAGGAATTTACAACTGCCATATCAATAAGGTGTTGGAAGACTCTTATATACCACTTTTTGGATCTGGTTGTATGACAAGCATGGGACAAGCTATATTTAGTCTTTTCTTGGTTTTGCGGTCATATCGTTCAATATGACTGGGGTAATTTCCCGTACAATGTTGACAAAAAGGTTACCGTTTTATTATCTTTCCATACTAAGGATGTTATATCTACCCCTTCAATATTTGCCATGTATTCAAAGGATCACCCTCTGATCTCTTTTTTTATTTTGATCTCTCTAGGAAGCTTACAATTTGGGATCCTATTCCTCCTTACAGTACCAAGACTGTATATACCGATAAATATACTTGAATAGATTTATTATGCCTCTTTTTGTCAAATATAAAGGTTTATTGAGGTGTAGTAATTATCAAAATATAGCCTAAAATTTTGATTTATAGGTTGTTCGGCTTAGACGTACAACAATATTGCTGGACGCTCCTAAATCTGGTTCTGTTGTTGGTTTTCAGAATCATTTTCCTGCCCAGAATATAGTTCAAAATCATAGGCAAATCCTGATACACCTCATAGAATGAAGAATTTAAAGCCCCATTTGTGAGGTTTCATTGGCATATATTGTTTTAAATGTATACGAGCTTTGGTTGAGCAAATTTGCTCATCGATTGATAAGCATTCATTCCTCTTTAGGAATTGTACGAAACCTATCTTGAAAGTGTTTCACAATTGAGACTACTTTTATAAGCCTATTATGGCTTGGTTGACCTTTTGCTATAGAATTATTATTGTCATTAAAATGAAGAATGGATCGAATGCTTTCAAATTTAGTGATAGTCATAGTCTTTTTTATAAGATCATTGCCAATTACATCTTTCCAATATTCTCTTATGGACGGTAATTGGACAATCGACATGAGAATATTAATCCCAATGAATTTCCTTAACTCCATTATAGAAATATTTATAGGTTTGTTAATATTTTTTATTGCTGCATATTTGGTTGATTCGAGAACTGCTAAATCTAGGAAATTATCATTCAAAAAATATGATGAACATTTATAGGGAGTATGTAAAGCCAGTATCTCGCTGGATAAAATGGACTTTCCATTGAATTTTAGATAATTTTTAGGGATATTTA